TAAAGGATTGTCTGCATGCGACAAGCAATGTGTTGAAATTTCCGAGGCTAAAATAAAAACAATGCCATTAACTTTTATTGCCACGTTTTGTGCTTGCAAATTTCCTATAATTTCCTGCAATAATTTTTAGCAGACAGGGCAAGTTTGTTGCTCAAGTCTTTTGTTTAGTTTTGCATTACAAATATTTTGCCACTTGCCCAGGCGAGTCATAACCACTCCGCTCAGCAGCCTAGCAGCTCTGCAGTAACAGATTAACCATTGTAATGTAGTTCAAACAGCCCATTCACATTCACCCATTAACCCACAATTGCCGGCGGACCCAGCTTTTCCCCCCCTTTTCCACTAAGTTTTCCATTTCAACTGGACACACCCAGAGAGCCGAACGACATGATTGCGGAAGATCTATCATATTTGGGCCAAGGAATGGTTGCTGACCATTTTTTTTGCGATGGCGCCCGAACAGGGACAGTGGGTGGGTGGATGCAGGCCGAGATTCGTGAGGTTTTTACAGCGGTTCGGTTCGTTTGGTGGCTTTCGTTTAGATTGCTGGCCGAGGATTATTTATTTTTAAATATTTTAATGATTTTTTTTATGCAAAGTCGTAGGCCAACACCCTCGCCCCTTGGATTATATAAGGCGGTTTCTGTTCTCTCACTCGCTGTGCGGCAAAACGCTTTCGAAAGTTGCAGCTGCTGGATGCAGGCCGCAACTGAGACAGTTGAGTCGGTTACTCGGTTACTCGTAGAGCTACACATAGCTCCACATGACACAATTTGTTAACTAGATTATTATGTAAGGCCCACTCTTACTCTGCCCCCTTTCCCCCCTTTAGGTGTCTAATCAAACAACATGCAAGCAGCCGCCTGGCTGCATATGCAAAAATAACAATTAGCCATCATTTTGAAGCCGGCAACGAGCGAAAAAAAGAAATCCCAAGAGACTCCGAAATTCACGCCACTCCAATTCACTTCGGTTGCAGACAGGCGGAGATGATAATTAAATCTCTTGCGTTGATGGGTTGCCGGGCCAAATTGAGTTGACATCTTGTGTGAGTCTGACTGGATTTGTAAGTCCCAATAGAAGTCTGGCCAAAGCATCGTTAGAAGCCAATGCGGAAGCTGAAAACCCTAAATTAAATTGGTTTTTTGTACCCGCCTAATATATCATTAATTATAGCACGCAACACACCTCAAATGCGATTTCGATTTCGTGCCAACGCAAATCATAAATAAAAATATAGACAAAATCTTGACCAAATTGATCGACGGTTTCTGTTCTTAACTCATAATCTCAGCTCACTTTCGGTTTCGATATTAAAAGGCAATTCATTTTTTCCGCCCCGCCGCCTGTTGATTGTGTGAGAATCGCTGCAACTCCCATTCGTGGATGATGATTAATGGTAGTCCCGTCCCGCCGATCTGAATGTGCCCCCATACGATCGTCTGGGATGGTCTCTTCGGCTCTAATGGCCCACAATTGTGGCAATCGCTGTAATTAGCCATTGACTATGCACCGTGTATTCCGCATTTCTGCCTTAATTGTGCCACTTTTGCAATGCTCTGGCTCGCAAATAGTTCATTTGTACAATGTAAGCAGCAAATTTGTGTCAAGTTCAGAGCCGCCGAAGCGGAGATTTCAATTTCCACGTCTCATGAGGAAACTCGCTTTGGCCAGCTTGCAATTGCCGCAAATTTATGGTGTTTTTTATGGATTTTCCTCGCAGTTGCTCGACCAGCTGGGTTGACATTAAGGCCAAACGAGTTGTGCGTTTACGCACGATTCTGTTGCCAATAAATGAATGAAAACTTTGACCGTCGTCTGATTGATTTGGTTTGTTTGTTTTTTTGGGCTCGTGCTGCTCAGACAGACAAGCAGTCTGGATTGTAGAGATAGCTTAAAGTCGGTATAAAAATACAAAGTTTACAAGTCTTCAATACTATTTGTATTTTATTGGTTACACAGAAAATAACTGACGCACCTGAAGAATATACAAAAACGCGAATTCTTTAGGAGAAGATGCCTGTTAAGAGTTAACTGGCGAGGATTCGGATTTCAAGAACAAAAGTTTATTAAATATTCTTCCTTCTATTTTAAAAGATCTTCTATGACACATTTAAAATTATATTAGTTAATCCTGTCAATATCCAATTCATCTTTATATTTTATTATTTGTGTAGACAACATTAAATTCTTTTTGAATTAATTTGAGTGTTTTCGGGTATCATTTTAATCGATTATTTTAAAAAGCATTTATAAAATCGAAGCACCTAATTGGCTTTAAAACGTTATGATCGCGTTTGATTATTGATCCACTTTGGGTTAATTACCCGCTAATTGAAGTTTTCCTGATCGGAATTCGGTAGCCAGTTCCCCGAAGACCTTTATGGCTTCATTACGTTAAGGAATTCGGCTCTATAAACTGCACATTTCGCCCCGGGCATTCACATGAGCCACGAGCAACTTGGACTAAGAGCCACTTCATCATCGTCGAAAAGTGTGGCCTTGTCAATGCCGGTTCGGAGGCATAATAATAATAAAAGCCGTGCATATCTGGTGCAGCACCCAGTAAACAATTGCGATTGTCTTGCAGTTGCAACTTCAGTTGCAGCCACAATTTTCTCACACGATTGAGTCAGTTTCGGATTCAGTTTTGGAGTATGGAGCCTTATGGTTCGGCGTGTGAGAAATGCCACGATCCCCACCCATCCGCTTGAACCCAGGCACTTAATGTTACCATTTCAATTTGGTTCTGAAGTATCCAGTTTTTTCAGTCAGGTGATTTCTGGGTGTTTTGAAAGTTCAATTAACACGCCACTTAAACAACTGAATTAACTTAATTAAGCGTCTATTTGGTTTACTTTTACTTTCGTCAGTTGTGCTCTGGTCCGCTGATCAATTAGCGTGACCCTGAAATTTGTTGGGGCTCCTAAAACGCTAAGCAGTTTAATGCTTAATTATCTAAGATTTCCCGACGGGGAGCTACAAGTTTAAGGCAGATGGTAAATAACTTAGGCCCAAGGAAAACGCCAGCATGCTAAGCAGATCAAGATTAATGGTGCTCGGAAAAGTATCAAAATGATTCTTATATCAGTTTTGGATTTGTTTCGCCTTTTGCGTTCAATTTTAGTATTAATTAATATTTTCATTTATAATATAATTTTAATGAGGAATGTATTAAATTATTAAATAATTATATAATTGCTTATCATATCTTTTTAATTTTAATTTTACCGATTAAAAAGTAACGTATTTGGGCGTATTTAAAATTAGTCAGTGTTGTTATTAGTTTCATTAAATTCTATTTTAATTTAACTTTGCAATTTAATCTATAATCCCCTTGAGTGCCAAGTTGATTAGTTCAAGCAGCCACCAGCTGCCACTCAATTTTCGTTCATCTTCGTGGGAAGCTCTCAAATAAGTTCTTTATGTATTTACACGCCAACTACCGATTGACTGATATCTCTATATTGAAATGTCGCATTCATAATTCCCGAGATCAGCAGACACGGGCAATTTGTCGAGCGGTTGTAGCACGTTTAATTACAATAGAATTTGCATTCGGATACAACATAGAGCACACAACGACCTATAGATATAGATATGTATAGTTATGGCTGGGCATGAATCACTTGAAAGCGACTGCCGCTTGCCTGGTAATTGCGAATAAATCGAAATGCATTTCGTGTAGACGTGTTAAAGAGCTTAGATACAGACTAAATGTGAGGCACAGTCGGCCGAAGGTCGCGAGTGGTCAGCTACGTCAGCAGAGCGAACCCATTGAAATTGAAATTGTAATAGTACAAAAAAACATACAAACTGCGGATTTAGATTTTCTACAGATTTTTCCCACAGCCAGCGAACGCGTTTGGGCGTTTACAACTGCCAGTTGGCTTTATTCCATTGCTGATTTTTAATGGCCTGCGGCGCCGCCATGACATTAAGTGGCCAACTATAAACGCGATCGACTTCTATATTTCATATCCTGACGGGGTTCCGTATTGCCCGACACCCACTGCAGATTTCCGAGCCCCGATTTCGGCTCGGCTTCTGACTTTTCAACAAATTGCAGTGGCACTTGGCCTTTGCAATCGCGACCTGGAGGTCGGGCAAACCATAAACACATGCTGGATTTTCGAACAGAGCTGGCTGCGTGATTTTACTAGAGTCATAAACGAGTTATGTATGGTTAGAAAAACCATTCATAATATCTTGGCTCTTACTCAGAATTAGCTAGATCTAGTAAGATGTCTTTATTCTCACGACTGCTCAGATTCTGATCTCGAACAAAGTCAATATGTAAATCAATATATAATTAACGTCAAACGGAGCGAACCACGAAACACAATTAAGTATTTTTAATTCAAGTAATGACACACTTTAATTAACTTTTTATGGTTCTCTGTGATTTGTTTAAACTGCCAATAAAAATGTTAAGGATCAATTAACTAAAAACGAAGTCCGGTAACCTTTGAACGGGAAAACTCAAAAATGACATGAATAAATCAAGTTACTATATCATATTTGATGTCATGACTTTATAACGAAAATCTAGTAAGTTAATTGAAATATAAGCTAAGATAATAATAATATTAAATCAGAAAAAATAAAAATGAATATATTATTTAGAAATTGATTTTTTAAAGAGCAACAAAAAAATTTACAAAAAGGACGGAGAAATGCAAGCACTTTCTTAACGTATTATTTCCATAATTCTTGACGCATCTGTAACATTCAAAGTTAACTTGAGGTGCATAAAGAAATCTATTTTGCCTAAAAGCTGGCTTTATATTTTATCATGAGCCCACTTTATTCTCACAAATCATGGAATACTTTATGGAGCTCAAAGACTTGCAATTCAGAAACTAACCAAATACCATTTAGTGGACCACCTTCGGGTCCTTGAATACCATAATTATATAACATTTATTCAGGAAACTTGGCCACATATCATCCTCGTTTTTAGTTTGGTTTGCTTTTCAATAAATATTCTTTGTAATATGTAAGTTTTGGCTTAATATCTAACAACATTGTGTTGGTTATTATTATTTAATGTATTTTGAATACAACAAGAATCATAGATAATAATTATATTTATAACTAATATGGAAATACTTTAGTGTGTGCATGTGCATGTGTCTGTGTGGGTGTCAATTTGCAGAGAGCAGGGGTCAGATGTGTGTGTCTGTGTGTGTGTAGGTCGAGACATATTTTATAAATACAATATAATCATAGTTACTAATTAAATTCTGCGCCGGTGTTTCTAACTAAAACTAGAACGGTAGACAATACTTGGCATTTGAACATTCGTCCAACGGTTTTGTGACAATGCAAATTCTTAGTTTTCTTAAAAGGGTTTATTTTACTTTGGTTTGTTTTTTGCTTCGGATTTCTAGCATTAATTCTCTTCAGTAGGGATTGTAGCCGGCGTTGCGTTTACGGCCCATGTTGCAGATCTTGAAATGGCAAGGCGACATATCTGAGGGGATTTGAAAGGAATACGTTAGTATACTGTTTCGGAGCTGAGGACTTTAGTTCATGCAACACTTACATTGTTTACGAACTAATTTTGGGATTGCAAATTAAATACATGAAAATAAAATTAACCAAAAACACAAATTAGTCAATCATGCCACATCAAGGAATTATATCAATTTAGTTAAAATTTGCATTTGCATTTGCTTTTACAGATTTTTCAAATACCCAGACAAACAGCTATATAAATTATTGACTTAAAAATGAAGAATACTTATAAAAACATTTATAATTTTTGGTAAATATTTCAGATGTCTTAAATATTTTTCTGGCTATAGTATCTTTTATCCCCCTTAGATGAATATCTCCTTTGAGTACTCACATTGAACATTCTTCTTGGTGTTGTGATCCTTGAGGGAGTGTCCTGGCATCACCTTCTTGCTGGGCATATTGGTCAGATCGGCGACGACATTGTAGCGCAGCTCATCGCCGCCTCCATTTTCGCCGAGTTTGTGGAGTCGGGCCAGCAGACGGGAATTGGGGGTCTCCTGCTCGTCACTTTCCTGGGTGACTCCAAAGTCATCGTAGTCCGCTGTGAGGAGGAGATCCCTCAGCGAAGGCCATTTCCTGGCAAAGGAGGGCAAACGCTGCTGCTTCTGCTCCTGCTGCTGCTGTTGCTGGTACTTCTGCAGGTTAAAAGTGGAAACATATGGCTTAGTTTCCCCTGGGTTCACCATATATGGGCGCCTGCTCTTACCAACTGCTCGCCATAATAGTTGTTGTCCTCATTTCCGCCTCCCAGGAGCTCACTGAACAACAACTGCGTATTCCTGGCTGACCGGGGCATGGCGTTTCCCGGTCCAATCGCCATTGACAGGAGCACAATGACAACGAGTGTCCACTGGACAGGTGGGCAACCACAGGTGGTGGGCGACGACAGGGCTGACATTCTCAACTGCGGAGAATTCAAATCAATCAAAACATGTTTTTGGAATCCTTTAATTTTAGACTACGAAGAAATTAATACAAGTTGGTAGATACATATTTTTAGAGACTAAATACTTAAAAAATAAGTTTAAAAAGCCATCTAAATAATTTGACAAAGAACTTTGAATACTAGCTATTAAGAACTTGTACAGGACTATACTATACATAAAAACTTGTATAAAAATATTCAGGCAATTTAATAATTATATATTCCGTTTGATTTGTATTATAATATTACTCCGTATTAGCTGTTTCTAACACAAAAATTTAAAAAAGAATTACAGGGTAACATTGAATGGAAATTTAATTACCAAAAAATAAAACGGTTTTAAAGTGTAAGCAATTTGGCTAGATAATTAGGCAGGAATGCAGGGGCGTCCACCCCCGGAACACATGACCCAGCCACCCTATTCCCGCCGCTACACCAAATCCATCAGGACCTTCCAGGACCCTCCAATGCTTACGCAAAGGGTTTCCTATTACAAACAACACAAGTTGGCAAAAACAAAACGAATTGTGGCAAGGCTGAGTAAAATATACGTGAATGTTTCGGGGGGCTTCGAGGGGTCTCGACCCACTCGAGGTGTTGGGTACTTCAAAAAAGTCACGTTGCAGTTGGCCAACAAGTTGACCGTGTTCCAGTTAAAAGTTTTGGCTTTCTTAAGCTTGTTCTAAATACAGCCCAGGGCTTCTTTTGATGGGAGTTCACGGATTCAGGTCACATTGCAATATCATCGCTTGATGTGCTGCGGACACGGGTCATCAGTGGGATTTGAGAGAAAATGAAAATGGGGATGGGAATGGGGATGGAAACGAGATGCCCTCGTAATTGACATTTATGAAATATTAATGCCTAATTAAGCTCAAGCTTTGACGTCGGAGTGGCCGGAATGGAAGGCTAAAGGTGACCAGCGAACTCATTATCAAATAAGGAGTGGGTTAATTTTGGGGAGGTTAGTCCATGACTTTTAAAAATTACAAGTCATTTGGGGTGGTTGGCAAATGAGTGAATGGGCTTACAAATGGGTGGCTTCTTCATGAGGAGGAGGCAAATAAGTGAAACTAATAGGTAGAATTTAGAACGAGTTAATATAAGAATTAAAAGTATAGCATTGGTAATTTTGCATCATAGTGTATGGAATGGTGAAATAAAATGCCAATTATAATTAGAGTATTTTTGTAATATTATTGTGTTTACATGATTTGATCTTTATGCATGGTTAAATATAGGTATATGGAAGTTTATTGGAAGTTGTAAAAATATATCGTGTGCCTTCTCTTATCTGCCTTTTTAGTAGCATTATTATTTTTTCCCTACAGTTCATTCTTTATATTTTTACGGCGCAACATATTTTTATTACAGTTTATTATCAAAACAGTATTTGTTGTTACCGACTGAGCCAGATTTTCTTCTTTTTTCAATTTTGAAAGCAAGTACAAGCGATAAACTTTGGCGATCGTGTCAGCGGCTTTTTCATCTCAATCAATAATTTATGTCGCCTAGCAATCGCACGCCAAACGCATTTTAATGGCCCAATAAAACCAAAAAAAAGCTTTGAGAGCTGATAATGCAATGATGTCGTGGCTAATTTGCGATCCCCAGCTAAGAGTCATCTCTACTAAAGTCAAGGCCTCGCGCGTAGACGTTCCATTGAACCCTGGAGTGGGATTTTTCCCCCGTAAACATAGTGCTAAACTACTATAAATATTTACTACATATTTGGGGAGGCACCTGTTCAATTTATTTGACAGTTCCCATGACGAACGGCCCGGGTTATTAAAAACTGAAACTGAACGGTGTCCGATAAGCGATAACAAGATGACAAGGTATAGCACAATAGGCCTTACCAAATTGCTAATTATGCAGGCAAGAAATATATACAGCTGAGTTCATAATTATTGATATTTTTGTTTAAAAATATAAGAAACTGAGAATATTTATAATCAATATTATAAAAGGTTATGAGAATAACATAACAGATCGATTCCTACAATTTATGAATCATTTTTGTACTCAAAATATATTAGTTATTTTAGATTTGGATTTAAATTTGAGTTGATATTCACTTAGCAGGAACATATTCCCTAGTGTCTTTCAATGTTCTAGAACCTCATCTAAATAAAAGCCTAATCTATGCTGAAAAATTCCAAAACAATTTAAGTGCATCACATTTAAATAGAAACTAGGCTGGGGGTCTCAACTTCTGTGACCCAAATCGTATCATCAACAGGGAATATATAAAAATAAAATCGTTGGGTTTCGATCTTTTATTTGCCCGCCATAAAGTGCGTCATCGGGAGCGTCATAAAATATCGAACCACAAGCAACATGGTGAGCTAGGAGCTCGTTCTTATCAAGAACAATAAGTTCAATCTACCGACACGCCCTCTTTTTCTTCGCTTCTCGAGCTGTGTAAACAAAAGTTATCTCTATCTGAATCTAAGTTGAAATCCCCCTCCTCCGATGTATTAAACTACGCAATACTTTCCGATTCACGAGACTTTTTCCCTTGAAATATTTCGAGTTCGCCTTCCATTCGCTGCCCTGATAAGACGGCTACAATTATTTTCTGTGTGTGTGGAACATAATTAAAAGCGAAAATCCCGCAATGACAATTCTGAAAATATTTGCTGATAATGTATAAATTATAAATAATATTTAAATATTCATTATCAATGAAGCAAAAGTAATTTTCTTGGCGCCATTTAACTGAAACTTAATGATTCGATTTAAGTCAATTAATATTCTACGATTACATGAAATCTATGGTTAATTTCTATGCTGGTCTGTTCTATAAATTAATTATACAAATAAATATTTAGGATTCATTAAATTAAATATAGACTTTTATTATAAGTTGAAAGAACTCACCTTTTTCCAAGTTCACTCCGTTTAATCAAAAAACTTTTACAGATCTGTGTATTACTTGACACTTGATCTCAAAATTTAGTCAATTCCGGTTAGCACTTTCCACTGTAACTGTACTTTTTACTGTAACTGTACTTTTTTACTGAACGACTGAATTGTGTCAAAAATATATTTCAGATTTCTTCAGCTATAGTCCAACTATATCACTGATTCAGCTTTATATATTTATTTTTGCTCCGCCTGGCGAATCTTAACCGTTAGGTGTGACAATGCAGAATAAACGCAAATCCGTTGGGAGCATTTGTTTATATAGGCGCTGGAAGACCGACGCCGCAAAAAAGGGTAATTCAACAGGTACAAATAAATAACCGACGACACTTCCACTTCGGAGGTGACAGAAGTCAAATGTTCGTGTGGGCGTTCGGGGAGGTTGATTTCCGCCCACTTCGGGTCAGGTTTTCGGGGTTTGGAACTCGAGACCGGGGGAGGTGTACGAGTACTTGAAAACTTTTTGTAATTTTATTTCTGCTCTGCTAATTTAAGCACAATCTTGAAATCGGGCACTGGGAGTACTCAGATTACTAAACGCGTTCTGGTTTGGCGGCGAACTAACCCAACGGATCTCATCAGAACCGACTCAAGTCGGTTGGAGCCTTCGGCCCCGATCTTCGTGCTTTGCTGTCGTGCCACGCTTTTGACAAATCGACCGATAAAGCTAAGATTTATGATCAGTGTGCTATATAGTTAGTAGGGGCTGCGCTACAGCACTGGGGATGGGTCATTTAGGTGCGCTTATGTCAGCAAATTAAATCACTTGAATTATGTTCCATTTCGATCTCTGAACCCAAAGTACTTTACTATCTAGAGGTTTACACCCTCGCTTGGTTCATTGACTCGTGGCGATACTTTTCCAAGGTGATTTAACCAAGGCTTTAAATAATCAACGTTTTTAGATGATAATACTAGGCTGAGGTTTCCAAAAAGTTCCCACATGAAGCATTACTTTGTACGGTAGGCCATTAAACTTGCCATGATTTAGCTAAATTAGTTCAAAAGTTAATTGGGTCAATGTCGATTTGCACTTTTTAAACAGCGGATGCTAAGATTCCCAAAGTATTTTGCAAACTCATGCAACTCAACGGAATTATCACATGATCAGAGTTCCTTACACATTTTGAGTACCTGTAAATAGAAGCAGTCACAAATCTAAATAAAGTATTTTAAATGGGACATCAACAAGAATTGGGTTCTTGTAAATAGAACCCATCGTAGGGTGAACCTGTCACAAATTTAAATAAAATATTTTTGAGCAAACAAGAGGGATAAAAATAAACTCGCAGCTGCCAGAGTTCATACAAAAATAGCATGGAAATTTACACATGTCCATCGCAGAGATAACTAAACCCGATCTTATCTTTTATGCTTACTTAATCATCCACGTATCACGGCAAATCTGGTTTCTAAAAAGACCAAAAAAGTGACGCAATACCGGCTAGGGATTAAGTCACACAGAAACCAAAATTAATTGGGGGTGTCGTGACACAGAATCTTTGAATTCAAATTTCTACGTATTATTTAGATTATATTTCGCTTATACAGAATCTCCCTAAGTCGTTTCCTATTTTAACTGCGTCTTGAACGAAGTCCCAGTAGACGGTAATTAATTCTAGTCTAGTCTATTCTATAATTAGATTTTTTGGACTTTAAAAACCTCTATTCTTATCGGAAAATTTCGGATCCTTGCGCAGACTTTGTGATTAAATTAAATTTTATGGTTACATCACCCCCAAATCCGGCGGGGGAGTCCATCACTTTCCTGTCTGATATTGATAAGCAGACTTTTTTAGAACCCGAAATCGCTGATAGCGCATCGAAAGGCAGTCATATCAGTGCTAATTGACACTTATTAAAACGCGACCGGCGGAATTGACACTTTGTGCCGGAACAAAGTGAGAAGCACGTGCCGCACAATTATCAGCAGCAATTTAGTTGGGGACATCACGTGACTTTCATCAGGCCATCGACATGGTCGTGGGATGGTTTCTGAGTCATCTGATGGGTTATTTTTTATCAAACACCATAACCCATGGACTTAATTGCTTTATTGACATAGTCGCCTAAATCCAGTTTGAATTGCCGCCAAAGCTGGGCCTATCCGCTTCTCAGCACTGGATGGGAAAACATTTAAATAATTGAAGTTATCGACTGTAGACTTTATCCCCAAAATGCACTTTTCTTACTTACGCTGTAAAATTCGACTTTTCTTTTGCACTTTCTTTTAGTAAATAGTTTTAGGAATAATTACGCAAAAATCATACTGATCGTATAGTTACTTGGATTTCTTAGAGCCAAAAACCTAAACACGTTTCTAAAAACCGCATGAAACTTGATAACAAAGGAGGTATGAAATTTTGCCCATAACTCAGTTATACCCAGTAATTATTTGTATTTTGTAATTTAAACAAAATTGGTCATTGTGTACTTTAAGACACAGGAAACCAGAACTCAAGTTAATCTTTTCTTTCATATAAAAATAGATTGCGAGAAATCTATATTACCTCTTAAGAAATTGTAATTGAGTTCCCCTAGAAATCTTCAAAGTTTTCAGGTCACGTATAAAAGCACATAAAAGTATGCAATACTTTGGCTTCATTTGATTTAAAAAGTTTTAGTGGGAACCCACTGTTCCCGACTGCAAGAGCTTGGTATAATACAGTTTGCACAGTCTGGTCACTCTGCGCTCTGTCGAAAAGTAAAATAAAAATAAGAATTATCATGTCGACGCTGCAGCTGGAATTCTCGCAGGCCATGACCGACTTCAAGAAGATGTTCCCGGACATCGACCGCGAGGTGATCGAGGCCATCCTGCGGGCGAACCTGGGGGCCGTGGACCAGACCATCGACGCCCTGCTGGCCATGTCGATTGACAACCAGGTGAGTGGCGGTGCAGGTATACCAGCCTGTGTATACTAACGTCTATAGAATGTACTAACCCACTAACGAACGCAGAACGAGAAACTGCGCAATGAACTGGATGCTAATGTCTCGCCCCAGCAGAGCCTCATCAACCTGAACGACTCGGCCAAAGACCTGCAGCTGGTGGACACCACGGACGGCGTTGCACCGGGAGCGGGTGCAGGAGCAGTTGGAGCTCCCAGCTCCCTACTGCCGACGGCTGGAGCCTCGCCGAGCCATCAGAATACCGGCGCCTCGCCCAAGCAAAGACCCCTGGGATCGGCCAACAGCCAGAACAACACCCCCACCAAGCGCAGTCGTCGCTGGAATCCCCCCATTCTGGGGCCACTGCCGGCAGGTTTCCTGCGGATCACGCCCGCTCCCGGACAGCAGGACTTCGAGCTGCCCGACGAACAGTTCGCCCTGATGCTGCAGAACGAGGAGTTCATGAACCAACTGCGCTGGAACCAGGACTTCATGAACGCCCTCGAGAAGGAGCAGAGCGGCAAGGCCAAGGGCGAGGACGACGCCCCCTTCCAGGAGCGGCTCAAGAACATGGGCAAGATGTCGCGCAAGAAGTTCCTGCAGATGGCCCGGGTCTTCACCTGGCAGCGCAACAAGAAGGTGACCACAGCCAAGCAGATAGACTCGCTGCCGCTGCGCGAGGAGCCCAGCGACGATGAGGACCACCACCACAGCAGCCAGCAGCGGGATCCGGCAAACCAGCAGCAGTCCAGCCAGCAGCAAGGACAACTGCAGCTGCGCAAGTGAAGCGGAACGTTCGGTTATCTTATCTCAACGGCCATAACGTGACGATCACGTGCGCTAGTAATCTCTCCCCACAAACAGAAACCAGAAACCGGAACCCAGACCCCAGTAATCTCCAGGCAAGAACGAAATCTCCTATCAACCAACCAATCTCAACACAAAGATGCGATGGTATTACCCTAGTTTTAACCTTAAGTGCAATTTTTAACCTACCTACGTGCAATATTCCCCCCATTATATGTTTGTATACGTTTTGTTTACCCTTTCGTTGTTGCCAAATTAGCGTAGTTAAGTTTTTATCCATTATTTGTAATCGAAGCTGAAGGCGGCCTCTTTTGAGCCGCGTTTGCTAGAGAGCCACACTCATACACTCGTTCGACTGATTATAGAAAGCGTTAATTAACAAAGCATCACACTAAACACCAGGAATCTGAGACGAGTCCCAAGTAGAGCACTTTGCTTAGCCCAAAACCTAGTCATAAAGCGGAACTCGAGCCACTTATTGTACAGTAATCGAAAATACCACGTAATCCCTGTCTTAACTTCCACTTTCTACATTTTAACTGCTGGCCAGCGCTTCGCCAACTTCTACGAAAAAGCATGAATTATTATTGTATATCCAAAGCCCGCGAATCTCTCGGAACTTGCATACCATATCAGCTGTGGATACAATGCAGTTTACTACACCTACGCCCCCAACTTAACTCCAAATCGATCCTATCGCAGATCTTACAGTGGATTTATATGCGTGCTATAAACTAGCAAATTATTATAATTATAAAGAGCGGCTATTTGATTGTAATTGTATATGTATAAATATTTGAATAACAAAATTATATAACTATTCCAAGTATCAAATACAGATATTTCAAAACTTCAATAAAAAGAGTGTTATCTTTTGGGTTCCGTTCTATACTTTTGTTTAAAGCCTCTTCCCACAGAGATCCATTCATCCGTTCTTGAGTGTCGATAAAGTTTTGCTGTTTCAAAAATAACCCTTTTTTTTTACAGCTATCTACCAAAAAATCATACTCTCCAAAAATGAATTTATTTAATTTTTATTTTGTTTTTGCATTTCCTTTTTAATTTTTTATAAACATAATACATTTATTAATAATTAAAAGATGATCGACCTGTGACCTACTGCGCCGCGAACTCGGGACTAACAAGTTTCTGAGATCAGAAGCGCAGAAAGGACCCAAAAGCGCGGCCAGTAGGGTAACAAGTTCGAAAAAATGGTTTTTCAATTACATTTTTCACACGCTCATTATTACATTATGTTATTGTAACGGTTGGTTTTGTTTATTATGTTCAAAAATGATTTGTATCTTTATCATATATTTAATATATACGCTTGGGCTTAGGTTTTTATTTTTATTTAGTTTTAATGTTGGTTGGCTGTGTTTAGACTTTGATTTAAGGGCATATTGGTTGCTACTCGTACGCGAAGTTTATGCAATGTTTATTATGAAATATTTGTAAATTACTTCGTTTTTAGGTTTCTTTTCATTTTGGGATTGACACGACAGTTTTATGTTTAACCATTCCTTAAGTATTAAATATACTATAATTTGTGGCTGTCTCTGTGCTTGATGTTGTTGTTGTTCTTGATTTTACCAGGAAGCGGAAGTGAGCCATGGCAATCCCTCTCATTTCCGCTTCCTCCTTGCTTTTTCGCTCTCTGAGAGCTCGCCGGAAATGTGTCAGTGTGTGAGTGTGTGGCTGTGAATGTGTGTGTGTGGGATGTGGCTGGTATGTGTGTGTGTGTGGGATGTATTAAATTGTGGATGCAATTGATCATGCTAAACAATTACTTGTAAATTTGTTTTAAACTAATTTCTAAATGGGCTCATTACTTCTGGTTGTTTGCAACATTTTGACATCATTTGCATACAATATTTTTATAAAATATGTTCCTTATTCATGATTCATTTCCCTTCTCGATTTATTTGCTCATTTCTTTTGTGGAATTTGTTATCTTTTAGGCGTACAATTTAGTTTAGCTTAATTTGATTTTGGGTTTTTCTTGTTTTGAATGTTGTTTTCGGTTCTATTTTAGGATATATTTGTTGTTGGTTGGGTTCTCTCGTGTATAAGTAGTTGTAGATGTGTAGAGTACAATCGAAAAGAATCAATAAATACGAATGTTTTAGTTTACGAATGTTTCACTTGTTGCATAATTTAAAAAACGGCTCAAAAACGAACGACAAATATATTTAAATATGTAGATATATATATAATAATTCCCCATATGCATTAATGGTTAATCAGCGAAAAATAGTACAATCATAATAGTAGTAAATGGTAATAATTACAAAAACTTGAAACAGTTAAAAACATTTGTCAGTTTAAGTTTTGTTGTTTTGCTTTGTATATATATAGTAGATTGGTTATTTCAATTTTTCGACAATTGCCTTCGGATCCAAAAACGAAACGAGAACGAAAAAAATTGAAAATCTTTACTTTACGCTTATACTTTTGCTCCTCCCTCCTCTATATATCCTTTTGCTCCTCCTCTCTGTTTTTTGCTTTTTACGGTTTTTGTTTTTTGGAAGTCTTATAGCAGAACACATAGGGACTTTTTCGGCTTCTTCTGTTTCTTCTCGGGCGACTTCTTGTTGATCTGCCGGACCAGGTCGTAGAAAATATCGTTCACATTCACTTTGGCTTTGGCTGAGGTCTCCATGAAGGCGCAGTTGAACTGGGTGGCCAGGTTCTTGCCCAGCTCCTTGCCGACGACGCGCTCCTCCTCGAGGTCGCACTTGTTGCCCACAAGGACCATGGGCACATCGTCCGTGTCCTTGACCCGCAGGATCTGCTCTCGCAGGTCCTGCAGATCGTTGAACGTCGATTGCGCCGTAATCGAGTAGACCAACACGAATCCCTGGCCGTTCTTCATGTACAGATCCCGCATGGCGGTGAACTGCTCCGTGCCCGCCGTGTCCAGGATCTCCAGCATGCACTGCTGCCCGTCCACCTCCACCTGCTTCCGGTAGCTGTCCTCGATGGTGGGATCGTACTTCTCCACGAAGATGCACTGGACAAACTGGACCGTCAGCGCTGATTTTCCCACGCCGCCGCTTCCAAGGACCACGATTTTGTACTCACGCATCTTGGCTGGCTAACTGGCTGTCTGGCTGCGATATCCTCTATATGTATAAATCTCGATTTGTGCTAAGTTCTAGGGAAGAGACCCGAAATGCAGGTAGGCCAGGTAGGTGGGTTATACGTTCTAGGTTCTTCCTCTGTTCTCCCTCGAAAATCACTAGTTTTTTTTAGGCGTTGTTCGGCGATTGCTTGTCGGTTGCAGTTTGTTTCTCAGTTGTTTTTTTTAGATTTTAGTTAATATATGTTTTTACATTTAAAGTAAGTTGTTTGTTGTTGTTGCTTTTGCTGTTGATAACCTTTGTGCCGTGTACGTGAGTGTGTGTCTGTGTGTGGGAGTGTGAGTGTGTGCTGGTGTTTGTGCCTCTCCCTCTCTCGCTCGCTCCTTCCGCCGAGTTGCGTGCGTTCAATTGTTGCTTTTTTGAGCGGAAATCTCCTGGTTTCTCTGTACGTTCGGGACCGCCGTCACTGCTACCGAGGGCGCACTGTATGGGGGTAGAAAGAAAGGCGGTTCTTTAGACACTTATTAACTCTAAATTCGCTGCGAGTGTTTTTGGTTTTTGCTTCTTTTTTTGGTATGCTGAGAACTGACTGCACTCCCTCTTTTCTTCTTCGCAACTCTCTCTAGTTCTCGCTCTTATGATTCATTTGCAGGGTTGCCAGGCCGTCGCGGCGAACGCAGCGCTTCACTGCAACGCCTTAAACGGCAAATTCCCTTTCATTTCACTGCGTTCTCAATTAAAATGCACTTTTGTATCACACACACACTTTGTGCGGATGCGGACGCGGATCGTATGTATGTATATCAGATACGGCCGAATGCAACACTTGACCACGCAAATGCACCCGCATGTCGGGCGGCAGGGCAACTCTGGGCGGAGTTTTACCTGTGTTTTCCACTCGCTGCCGCTAAATGCGTTTTCCTTGGGAACACTTCACCTGTCGCCGCTCGCGAATCGCTGCACTTTTTATTTGAAACGCCTTTATTTTTCAATTTCTTTATTTTTTCGCAGCGAACACTCACAGACTAGGGCTGGCAAAGCGTCGATAACGTTAGGGCGATGGTTGTTATCGATGATTAGCGATAGGATAGGGGTGGGGATTTAAAATGTCTATTATTAGATTAATTATATTTGAATTTTAAAATTATACATTATTGTTAAATTAATTTGTATAATAGGAATAATAGGTATTCTGAACAGCCATATGAACAAGAAAGTGAAACTAAAAATACAGTAAGCGTTCGGTAAAGTAAATTACAAAATTTAACAATTTAAAAAATTCAATTTTTTAAAGAAAATATATCAATTATATTGAAAAACAACATTTTTATTTTTGGAAATATTACAGTATAATGAAGTGAATTCTAGGCTTTAGTCTATAGAGTACTGTATAAAACATTTAAAAAGTGAGAACTAAATGAATCAACAGTTTGCCGAATTACTAAAATTCCCATATTAGAGATATATGTACAACGTACATTGTACATATGATTCATCGCAAACCTATTTTTCCAAATAATTCTTAACATAAAAGAATAAAAATATTTTTATCGTTGTTGTTGCATTGCTGAATTGATAAAAATTCCAATTTTAAATGACTCAAAAAATGCTTGCAAATAAATATTTAAAATCATATTTGTTTAATGTGATTCATTTAATGATAAATATTATAAAATAACAAAATTTCCGGAAACTAAATACACTCAGATACATTTTAGATTCCCCGTTCAAGGTCCGCCTTAAATAAAGAAACTATATTCCTTCGTGTCAATTCCACCGCTTCAACGTCTTTTTCGATTTAATCAATTCACATAAACTATGTATATTTAGCAAAACAACATAAGGTAATATCTAACTAAAATTTCGTACAAAATTCAGCACGGTCGTTGCCCTAGCGTATCTTGGTGACCATCCCAGCGGCAATGGTGACGCCCGCCACGCGAAGCATCACACGTCCCAGCTCTTTGAAGTCAGCATACCGCTCGATGCAGATGGGTCTGCTGGTCTCCAACTCAACAAGGGCACACGAGTTGTTCCCCAGGCAGCGTGGCTTCTTCTTGACCACCTCGCCGGTGCTCTTGTGGATCGAGGCGGTCAGCTTGCTGACCACGGCGGGCTCTATAAGGGATTGGTGGTGCAGCAGCACGGGGAATCCCATGGTAATGGGCACCTTGACGTTGAACACGATAATGCGAGCCTGGAATCGGGTGGTCACGGGAATGGGCGTCTGGGGATCGCAAATGATGCAACCCACGGCGACGTTGTTAATGTCCAGGGCGGGCAGGGTGACGGAGACCTGATCGCCGGCGAAAACACTAGTCTGTGGGAAGTCGTTCATGGCCAGCGACTTGACCTGCGCCTGCTCCCGGCTGGCGCCCACCAGTACCTTGTCATTCAGGCACAGCACTCCGGTTTCCACTCGACCCGAAATGCAGAATCCCGAACCAGTGCCCTTGTAAATATCCGAAACGGACATGCGCAGCGGTCTGTCGATGGCTCTTTCGGGGATCTTAAATTTCTCTATGACGTCGAGCAGGTGCGGACCACTGTACCAGCTGGTCAGGGCGGGTTCCTGGGCCTTCTTGGTGAGATTCTCGCCGGTCAGTCCGGAGCAGGGCGTGAAACTCACATCGGACTCCTTGAAGCCTGCTTGCTTGAGGAAGGACTTTAGCTTGGTCACAATCTCCGTGAAGCGCTCCTGCGACCAGCCTACGGTGTCCAGTTTGTTGATGATCACGCCCAGCTGGTTAACGCCAAGGGAGCGCACAAGGATGGCATGTTCCCTGGTCTGCCCGCCGAGCTCAAAGCCGGATTCAAACTCCCCTCTGGTGGCATCCACAACCAGGAGAGCCACATCCGCCTGCGTAGCACCGGATATCATGTTCGGAATAAAGTCCTTGTGCCCTGGAGCATCCAGCAGTGTGACGATCTTTGTCTTGGTCTCGATGCGCGACTGGCCCACGTCCATGGTGATACCGCGGGCGCGCTCCTCGCCCGTTTCGTCCAGCACCCAGGCGTACATGAAGCTCTGCTTGCCAAGCTTCTTTGACTCCTGTTCGTGCTTGTGCATCACGCGCTGCGAGACGTTGCCGGTGTCGTAGAGTAGATGTCCCATCAGGGTGCTCTTCCCGGCGTCCACATGCCCAATGACGATCATGTGGATGTGGCTTTTCTGGTCGGCCCGCTCCTTCTCATACAGCTGGCGGGCATTGCGCAGGGCCTGCTCCTTTGAGACCTTGAAGAGAGTCGCCGAGTTGCGAGAGATGTCGTCGCCGCCAATGTCGACGGGAGTGTTTCTGCCCGAGACCGAGGGCGATGAGGGCACCTTGGGCGAGGGTATTTCAAATCCTCGGCGCGGCTCCTTAAGGCTGATTTTCGGCGGCGGCGTGGGCGCCGTTTTGCTGGTGGATTTGGGCAGCACTGGAGCGGGAGCAGCGGGCACCTTGATCCGACTCGCAGCGGGCTTGGCAGACGACTTCTTGGCAGTCTCTTCGTTTAAGATCTCGTCTAGGATCTTTTGCATGTCGTAGTCGAACTTCATGGAGGTCTCCACGATGCGGCGCTCGGAGACGGCGTCGCCCACCACGCTGCGCACCTCGTCCACGCAGGAGCTCAGCTTGGCCTGCTCGATCTCGTCCAGCTGCGGCATCTGGAAGCTCTCAGAGTCACGGCGGGCCTTCTCGAAGGCGGCTTCTTCGTCCTCGTCGTCCTCCTCCTCCTGGATGTCCTTGTTCTTGCTGATGAAGGCCGAAATGCTCTGCTGGCCACGGGCTCGATCGTAGAGCCACTGCTGGGCATCCGTGGGCGAGATACTAAGGTGGTCGTCCTCCACCGAGTGGCCGTAGATGTCGTCGTACCCGTCGTACTCGTCGTTGTAGTCCATGGTGCGCACTATTCTGTGGCGCGACATCTTGGAGTACTCTGTATTTCACAATTTTCAGAAAAGGGTCAGAATTTCATCAAAATATTTTCGAGGTGCGCTCAGGTGTGCCTGTCTTTTTGGAGGTTTGGTATTTTGCGGTATTTACATCGGGCGATTCGAAGTATTCGATTCCTGCAAGGTATCGATATTTTTACTGAATAGGAGACGCTTTCGATTGGTTTGACACTGAACTCAAATGCATTTTGTTTTCTAAATTACTTTTGAAAGACGAATGCTGGTTCGAATAAATCTGGGAGTGACAACCGGTATTATTTATGTTCATTTTCATTTATTAAAGAGGTACAGAGAAGAAAAAATAGTTTGCCTTGAATCGAACGTTTAAAAATGAGCGCCAAATTATTATGCTCGAGTTAGCAGAGCAACAGGCATTTTGTTATGTCAATAAGATTTCTAGAAACATATATCTTTATTCTTTGGCTTACAAAACTTTGTTTTATTTACCAAAACTAGTTACTATTTTTATCGATTGGCAATTCATGGTAGTGTGAAAGGTGTAAATAATGAGACCCTGTCTGAACAGGCTATTGTGAAAATTACTGCAAACGGCCTGCGAGCCACCCCCGCAAGGTATTCAGCCACCCCCGCTGAACGGTCACACTTCGAATCTGAGAAATTTGTCTTTTGTGTCGCGTCTTTGTCTTTCCTCTTTGTCCTCTCTTTCTCAGAGAGAGCCATCTCCCATCTTGCATCTCCCTTTTTTACTGAGGCTGTCTTCCTTTTTTACCGACACTTACGTTGCCTTACGTTTTGCCGACACTTACGTTTTTCTTACGTAAAAGAAAAACACTGAACGGTCACACTTTGAATCTGAGAAATTTGTCTTTTGTGTCAAAAAAAAAAACACTGAAACACTTGAAAACACTGAAAAGAAAAACACTTTTGCAACGAAAACGAGCAGCGGAAACGAGTGCAAAACAGTGCGAATTCGGAGTGCGCGACCATGCAGGCGGGGCAGCACTAAGTCGGAGCCGCATTTACCCCGATCTCGGCCGTATTTCGGAGCCAACGTTGGCAGCCCGTATCCGAATCTGAATCTCGATCGCAGTCTCGTTTATTATTAAACAACGGACAGCAGGAATAGCAGGGAAGGGGAAGCAGAACCACAACCAGAACGCAGAGAACCCAAATCCAAGCCAGAAAAGATGTACAACAACGGGGCCAGGGGCTTCTCCATACACGACGCCTTCGAGGAGGAGACCGACGAGGCGATACGCGTCTATGGGTCCACCGTGATATCCACGCCCATGAGGGGCGGCAAGCAAGGTCGCTCCACCGAAGACGTGTCCATACGGATTCAGGATCCCAAGTGAGTGGGCAGGGATCTGCTGGAAACAGGTCTTTGGTCTGCCTGCGTGGGCACACCACCGATTATTGGCACCATTTTCCCAGCTTTGTGCCAAACAAGGAGTACTGTGATTCCGGTTATTGTTATTGTGCTTTTGTGTTTATAATACACACCGCATACAGCTGTGCATCTGGTGTTCTATGATGTGGTAGTTCCGACTTCCTTATTCCCGCCGGAAGCACCTGAATCAGTTGGCCAAGCGACGCGTGCGTGATGGATAGCTTAGCCTATACCGTCTATTGCCCCTATACCTTCTCGCATAGCCATTCCATTAGCCATGCATGGCGTGTCGCAACCACAGAAACGACTTGTAATTATGGGGATTATAAATGCAGACGTCCAGCCTAATTTGGCATTCAATTGTAAAAATCATTGCGCATAAATTTCGTCATAAGGGTTTCTTGCTTGCTTCTCGAGGGGATCAAGTGAAGACGGAGGCGGAGGAGGAGGTGGCCTTCGCCTGCGGTCAGCTGGAACCAGTTAGCGAGCCCAGCAAGCCAACCGATTGCACTTGTCGGGCTTCTCTTGCCAATATAACCGAGTGGTAAACGCAAAAGTGATTGCGTCTCGCTTTTGGCGGCAATCCAACCCCGCGATAACCCCTCCAAATGGTTGATAAGGGTCCTAAAGTCCAATATTTAACAAAGCTGGGGCACAAGTCAATTATTTTTCAGACGTTTAAACTTTTAGCTCGTCTAGATATGACCAAGTCTAGCAAAATCATCATAATATTGCGATAAACCGCAAACCTGTTTTGGAAGAAGCCAAATAATTGGGCTATTCACTAGACTAACGAAAGATCATCTCTTAAGGCGCCAGAAAACATTGTACAATCTCGGATTACCATTAATATGATTTTTTGGGTATTTAAATATGTGATCATTTTGTTATTAAGCTTGCATCATTAGCAGAAGCTTATGCATAGTTTTTTATATTATTGTTTTTCAGAATTTGATGGGTTGGTGATTCAGTGCCATTGTTTTTAAATGTTTGTAAACAATTTTTCCATTAGCTATTTCAAAAGATTAATCATCAATTTATCTTATTACACTTTGGGGATTTGGACTGTATTTTTCTCATCCAATATAAACTACCTTCAGATCCAGTTTACTACCTATTAACTTACAATTTATCATACAAAAGAGTTGAACCATGAAAATCAAAAGCAGTTAATGCATGTTTCTGCAGAAACCCTTTTGAAATAAGTGGGTCAAGCCATCGGTGCTGAAAACCGGCTTTAATTATACAGCCCCCAAGGCTATTAAAAGCTTTTCCTTTCAACTGCCTGCCCATCTCTTCCCTCTCCCCAGGGGCTACAATAAGTACGCCGAGGACACAACCTCCCGGGACAGCGATTCGCTCATCCAGGAGTACGGCAACCTGCCCACGGAGGAGACCAACACATACTGCTGGCGGCATCCCAAAGTGCGCGAGAACTGGCGCACCGTGCTGGCCGCCTTCACACTACTGGTCGTGGGCACGGGCCTCTTTGTGATGGGCACCTTCGCCATCGCCGACCCGCAGAACACGTCGCAGGGAGTCGTGTTCTTCGTGGCCGGACTGATCTGCTTCATACCCGGAGCCTACCACGTCGTGTACATCTGGCTGGCAGCCAAGGGATATCGAGGGTTCGACTTCTACCACCTGCCGCTGTTCACATAAGCATCTGGACACCTGGGCAGTTCAACTGGTTGATCCAAGGACAGGATGGAGCAGGATAGTGATGGGCGATCGGAGACCCCCTCCCCATCTATAAATATAAATCTGTGTGTTTGTTTATACTTGTATAAACAACTTATTTTCTATTTCCTAATCGTAAATAACCCAAAACTCGGTTTGTGTAACGTCCTTTTTGTGTTTAGCGGCAAAAATTTCGTTTAGACAAAGAACCCCGCCCCCCTAAAACCCGAATCGAAATCTAGCAATATATATAGATTATATATTTTACAATATTTTCTATTATGTACTCGGTAAAGTGTTTTGTATACCCCGATCCAACCCCAAAAAGTGCAAAACATTCATACGTACACTCGAAATTTATTTAAACAAAAGAGAAAAACAAACGAAAGACTTTGTATATGATGCTAACATGTTGAGGAAGCGCTAGAGTTATAATGTATACTATATATAATTGTAATTGTAATTTATTGAAATTTCATTGCACCAAAAACGCTGGCAAGCGTACGAAAATGTTTTACGATTTTCAAAACCAACACTCAAAAACAAAAAAAGATTAACCGTACACCCACGAATCTATGTATATGATTAGTGAGCGTCTGTCCAGGGATGCGCCTTAAAGAACTAGATCTAGACTTTAGTCAACGTCGAATTATGATTATGTTTAAACTTGAAACCTAATCGAAAGCAGCGGGAATCTTCTCGAGCAACCATGATAATACCAAGCTACTAGTGATGTAAGACGATGCGCCGATATTGCAATACGTTCTTTTATAGCTATATAGTGATGACGCGTCTCTTTTCCGCTGACCTTTGCCCCCGTCCTCTAATGAAATTACTTCTCACAGTCATCCACATTTCTGAAAACCAATCACACACACCTCATCTGCCGTTTAGTTGTTAATGTCGTATAATTTCTTTTTTAAGAAATGCTGAATATGGTTGTATTAAAACAAAAATAATTATTACACGCAAAAAAACCATAAAAAACGAAAAAAAAGAATAAATATACTTAAAACACATAAATACGATTTATGGCTAATACAGGACTCCTTTTTTTCCAAAATTTATACAAAACCTTATTTGTAGATTTAACTTTGTGACTTTTGTATGTATTTTCCCATTGAATGTTGGTTTTTATTCGAATTAAACATATTATTTTACAAAGTTGAGTTTGTTTTTTATTAAGGGCGACTTTTTTCCTTATCTGTAACAATGCTATGATTAAATACCCCATATTTTATCAATTTAACGTGATTTATCGTTTCTTATTTTTATTTAATTACTTTCTTAGCACTCTCTTCTGGGAATTGATTTCATTTCTTTACGCAGCTTAAAATGAGCGATAAATTGTATCTTTCTTTTGCGGCATGCCCATTGAACTGTATCAGAATCATTATCAAGTTCACCCCCACCAAGTCCACAGTGCGTTTCAAAGCTGTAAGATAATAGGGATTGGGGTATGATTATTCCAGGCGGAAGATATGACTTGTTTTATTTTAATGTATTTAAAGAATTTTAATTAGTCGTATTAACTTTTGATGTCCCATTTAAATCCCATTCATCTATTTGTTCATGAGCCATTTGCGATTACGCTCTATGGCATTTCCTTTCCTAGCTGACCTTGCTCTATTAATTTTTTGATAACCCTGCAATTATGGGGGCACTTGGCCCTTGTATTACAGTCACGGAACGCACTGTCGGCCTGCTCCAACTTCATGTCTTAACCAATCCCAAACTCCTCTTGGATTAATGGATTCGGCTGCCTTCGGCTAATGGCAATGCAAACGAGTTCAGATGAAGTGAAATGTTTGAAACAATCAAATCGGCAATGGAATAGGATAGATACTTGATACTTGCTCAATACACGAAGTTAACGACGGCTCTAATAGGTTAATTATATTGGTGTTGTGCGCCTCTCCGAATCGATTATTTTTGTAGCCTTTGACTTATTTGAATTGTATTTAAATAATTGTTGCCTCGACTCCATTCGATTCGATTTTGATCCGAACCGATTTGTTTCGCCTCGGTTCGACCGTTGATGATTAAGCTTTAAATGTGCTTAGCGAAGTAAGTG